CACTCTTGCTTGTCAACATTTTGCTGTTCTGCCTCCCTAGGATGAGTGAGCAAGGGAGGCTTGCAAGCCACTGTAGATTTTCAGTGGTCTCTGACGGCTTGATGGGTCTACCTCCACTAAGTAGCTATAGTCCCTCACCCCAATCCCATTTGAGTGTCCATACAAACCCTGAAGATATAAAAGAATCAAGAACCTCCCTCCCAAAGTCTCATTGAACCCAAACAACTATGAGATGCAGAAGATACAAACTTCAACAGTCTTTGTTTTGTTTTTGCTACTCTGCATTCTCTCCTCTCTGACTTTGGGTCTTGGCATCTCTCTTCCACCTTCAACCTTTAGTGAATCCTAGGTTTCCTTTCTGTGGTTTCTGAACAGCACCCATTTCTTTTTCAGGTGAGCTCTATGAATTTGAATGAGCCAGCACATAGGTGTTTTATCTTCCCACTGCCTGTATTTAGGTAATCAAAAGAAACAAGCTAAGAATATGCATTCATCCAACAGGACTCTTCAGACAGCCTAATCTCTATTAGAGAGAAGGGGCTTATTTTTCACAATTAAGATATACTGAGAAGTCCTAAGTAGGTCACATCCCTTCCAAGAATGACAAATTATTCCATTACCCTCTCTGTAATGTCTGCTTCTCTCCCTCAACTTGCCCAGTCTTATCCTATATCCTGTAGGAAGACTATACTTTCAGGGATCATTTCTATAGTATGTTACTATATCCTGTAGGGCAAGATTAGCTATTCTTATTTCTTTACTACCTGCTGTACCTCACTCAGGTCAAAATTAACTGACTGAGTATTCATTCAAGCCATGGAGAATCCAAAGCTCTTGGCCCAATCTCCTCTTTTTGATGACTGAGAAATAAGAAGAAGTTAATGTGGTGGTCATAAACATAAGCAGAACTAGGGTTGAATCCACTCCACCACCTTAGGCTAATGTGACCTTAGGCTAATGCCTTAACCTCTGCAGACCACAAGTGGAGATAGAAGAGTAGTTTTGGCTTTGTAGAGTTATTGTGAAGACCATGCTGTCTTTTCTATGCCAAGTCCTAGTGGTTCAGAATAATCTACCCAGATGTTTCCATATAAAGTGCCTCAGTATAAATCCTGRGAGGTAGAGGGTAAGCCAAGACCAATCTACATTAGAACCCAACTGTCCCGGGTAGCTGCTGTCAAAACCTTTGTTTAGCTCTTATTTAATATGAAGAGTTTTCATTGCCTATTTGAATCAGGATATGGCTTTAATGATATTAGGAACAATTCTGCAAGTATCTTTTCTATTGAATTGGTGGATTTCAATAAAAAATGATAGGAATCCATTACAAAACTTCAAAACCCTCCTGCACTATCTCATCCCACTTACAAACCTGCTACCAAAGCACTTGCCTAGTGAGAGGCAGATTGAGCCCACCTGTCACCTCTACAAGAGTCCCTGTAATAAGGACATGAACCACTGGGTTTTTGTTAAATTCTCCCAGAAAGTGGGTAACACTTCTTGATTCTTTGGTTCCTTTGGCCCAAAGCTCTCCTCCTTTTTTTRAAGTTAAAATATTTATTGAGATGATAGTAGATTCCCACACAGAAACAGATAATCTGTGTAGTCTTTACTCAATTTCCCCCAAAGGTCATATCCTACAAAAACTAAAGTAGTTTCACAACCCAGATACTGGCATTGATAATGATCCACTGATCTTACTCAGACTCCTTAGTTTTCCTTGTTCTCATTTGTGGGGTACTTGTGTGTCTGCATTTAAATTTACACTACCATGTATAGGTTTGTGTCAATCACAGTAAAGACACTCCATCTCCAGATCCCTCCTGTTGCCCTTTTAAAACCATACCTATCGTCTTCCTTTCTCACCCCATCCCTAACCCTGGAAACTATTACTCTATTCTCCATTTATATCATTTTTTCATGTTAGTTATATAAATGGGAATTGTACAGTATGTAACCTTTTTGTGATTAGATTTTCTTTCACTCTACATAATCCCCTGAGATTCATCCAAGTTCTTACATGTACCAATAATGTGTTCCTTTAATTGCTGGGAGCAATCCATGGTATGGACATACCACAAACTGTTTAATCATTTAAGAGCTGCATCATTTCCAGTGTGGGGCTATTACAGAGTTGCTATGCACATTCATGTTCTCCTCTTCCCTTTCTGTCACTAATTGATACAGATGCTCCTACTTCACTGAGGTCCTTGTTCCTGTTGTGGCAAATATGACTTGTCACCATGTTATCTTTTCTATGCCAAGTCCTAGTGGTTCTGAATAATCTGTCAAGATGCTTCCATATAAATATTATCACTAGATAAGCACCTCTGGGCCTTTTACTTTAAAGGAATAAAACAGAACAAACATGAGTTTGGGAACCACACAACCAAGGCTCACACTGCAGAGGCTCTGCCACATATACTTGTGAAATTTGAAAGTCACTTAACCCTCTCAATCTGCTTCATAGTGATCATAATAAAATAGTTATTAGTTGCTAAGATTTCTTTACTGGAAGTTTATGGTCAGTGTAACATAATGGATAGAAGCAGGAACTCTGATACCAAGCTTATCTGGCTTTGAATTCTGGCCCCATCACTTTAGGCTCTGTGACCTTGGGCAAGTTACTTAACCTGTGTGTGCCTGTTTTTCCATCTGTAAGTGGCATGTTAATAATACCAGTTCTGTGGACTTGTTATGAAGAATAACTACAGGTACATATAATACATGTTCAGAACAGTGTCTGGCATGCAGTGCTCATTAAGCATTAGCTCATATTGCTATACAGCAGGCACTATTATGTACTTTGCAGATAATTTAATCTAAGAATGACTTTATAGTGCAACTATTGTTAAGAGATTGTTTTTATAGATAATAAAATTGAATTTAAGAAAGTAAGTCATACTGGATGACACAGTGGTGCACACGTGTAATCCCAGCGGCTCGGGAGGCTGAGGCAGGAGGATCTCAAGTTCAAAGTCAGCCTCAGCAACTCAGCAAGTCTCTGTATCAAAAATTTTAAAAAGGAAAAAAAACAAATGCTGGGGATGTGGATCAATGGCTAAGGGCCTCTGGGTTCCATTCCTGGTACAAAAAAAAACAAAACAAAACAAAACAAAAAAAATCACTTCCCCATTATCATATGGCTTAGAAAACAAGGGAGCCAAGATTCATATATAAACCTGTCTTTGCACCATTCTGCAGGCCTCCCAGAGCAGCTATGAGGATTAAAGAGAAAAGTGTATTTAGTCTGTGGTGCTGTCTTTTCAAACTGCTCCATGTGTTGTTTCCTCTTTTAGCTAGGTGGTTGATGAACAGCAGACTGTTTCATAGTGCTATACACAGTAAAAAATGGCCCTTTAAAATATAAACCACAAAACTAAAAGTAGCAAGGGCTGGGGATATAGCTCAGTTGGAAGAGTGCTTGCTCAAGGTCCTGAATTCAATCCCCAGCATCTCTAAATAAATAAAAATAAATAAAAGTAGCAATTTGAGGGTACTGATGGATGCATCTGCAAACATTTGCTGTGCTGAACTAACTCAACAATCACAGTCAGATTTGAGACTAATTCATCCAACAGAGTCATAATTCATTGCAACAGCAGCTGCCTCACTTCCTTCCTCAGAGGACATTGCAACTACAAGGTAAAGACTGCTCAGACAAGTAGCACCAGCGCAAACTCCCATGGGACATTCTGCATTTTGTTCCCCCCTCCCATCAAATCCAGTGTCAGGGAAGCTGTATCCACTAAATATGCAGAACTCTGGTGTGATTCTGGCCTCATGGAGGCCCAGACTGGGATCAGAAGACCTGGGTGCAGGTCCCAGCTGAGCCCACCACCAGTTGTACAACTTCAGGGAGTCACTTCCTCTTATGAGGCCTCACTGTGGATAGCTGTGAACCAGGAGTTTCAACCCAATGTACTCTCTGCTGGTACAAAAGCACAAACTATCTTTTTTCTTTTGCATTTATTCTTTCACTTCTTTTTTTCTGGCCTCTCTTCTTTCTTTTCCTCCTTTTTTTCTTTTTCTTTCAGCCAAACAACAAATACTTCCTACCATCAGCCAGACTATAATGCCAGAAAGCTGGGAATTCAATGGTGASTAAGCTAAATACAGAAGTCACTTACATGTCTGTTAAAAATGTTAGAATGTTAGAAATATATAATATTTGATTCTTTTTTGAAACTTTTGCTTCAACACAAGCTAACTATGCAGTTTGAGTAAGTCCCAATGACATGTGGGATAGGTAAAGGAAGATCCAGCTGTAGTAAACACTTCAAAGTCCAATACTTTATTACAATAACTAGGCTATTCAGGTTTAATCTGATTTAGTTGAAATTGCTAGGCTCATTGCAACAGTTACCTAGGTGAAACTGGCAGGTAAAAACTTTATGACAAACTACCTCCATTCCAATTTACAAATGTGCTTAAAACTTTTTAGTATATTGCTGCATTCACACTCAAGTTAGAAAAACAACTTCAGAATTAGTTTAAGAGCACAGCCATGGCCAGCATGTATGGAAAAGGACAAATGTGAGGCTGACACGTAGAAACAGATGATGGTTTTTGCTTTTGTTTTTTTCATTCAGTTTGCAGTCTCTGTACAAGGGTAAGCCTATCAGAAATGTAAATATCTGGCAAGTTCAACATTGATTTGTGAGAGTAAAGTGATCATGGTATCTTTCTTTGCCTTTAACTCAAAACACAAGAGAGATAAGAGACTACTTGAACTGTTCTTTGTTGTAATTTTCCTGATAAGAAAAGTGATAGTTGAGACATGATGGGACTTTGGCCAGATGATATAATAACAAGCACAGATGGGGTCTCAAGTAAAATGGAGAAATGAGCAGACTGGTGCTTGGGGAGGCATCAGGATGCATATGGGCAAGTCAGTGGGCAGGTTTTCAGAATTCCTCTTATGTATTAACCTGAGGCTTTGATGACATGTTAACTAAGAGGCATGAATATTTATAACATCGGCATTTCTGAATGCTTCATTTTTAAGCCTTTTATGAAAATGCACATATTATAGTACATAAAGTAAATGATGATTTTCATTCTTGACATTTGTGAAATATCACACTTATGAACAGTTCAATTATATTTTATTTTAAACATGTTATAAGATGGGGGGCAGAGCTCACAGAAAAGTTACTTGATCATTAAAAACCACAAAGTTGGAGACCTTTTTTAAAAAGAATAGATATCAAAATATATTTTGGTTGTTGAAGAAAAAGGGCATAAGATCTAGAAGAYAAAAGTTGTATTTAAAATCATGCTAAAGAACAAATTAAAACAAAGAAGAAGAAAAATGTACTAGAGGTTAAATCTTATTATAAATGAATATCACTTCTATGGGACTCTATGACTCACTTTAACAATATTCAAACAACAAAAACCCTACTAACAAAAGAGCCTCAACACTCATTTAGGGTTGGTTGTGACAGAATTTGTCCTGCTTATGGGGTATGCATGAAAAACAACTTAAAAAGAATATCTAAAATATGAAACTGTTTCTCTAAATTGCACTTATTGGTCTTAAATACAGTTGAGGAGAGAATCACCTATGACTTGAAGCTTGTCATCAAGGGATACGGGAGTCATTTAAAGCCAAAGGGGAATCTGTTATACTTCGTTCATGTGCCTGAAAAAGTATAATACTGCAAGTTTTTCCTCAATGTCAAATATCTACTGAGAATTAAAGAGTAAATGAAACTTCCTAGCCATTTCCAAGAATCACATGATAAAGGGTAATCATTTTAGAGTTTATATATGCTCAATTTTCTTAAAGCCATAGAYTTTATTCTAGAAAGGAGAAAGTACATGGCATTAATAAACCAAGTATGTCATAAATTCTAGAATGCCAAATTAAGGGTTTTTTCCTCCTGTTTTTTACACCAATTTTTTCCATGGGCTACAGATTATATCCATGACAAAATTTTTAGTGTTTTGCAGCATGTCAAAAATAGATCAATATTTTTGCCTGAGTGTCCCACTAAAACTTTACCTAGAGCTTATATTCTTAGACTTTCCACAAAGTGTTTTTTCAAATAATATGTCAATAACTGGGAATAGTGTGAGGATTTGAATACTTCAGCCAAGTGAAGAAACAAACTTCCTCTTTAAACCTGTTCTCCTGCCTGAATTTTTATATATTAAAATAACCTTCCTCATTCATTTCTGCAGGGGTACCCTGAAGAAAGTGGCACTTCTTAGCCATCACAAATTTCAGGTCAAATCTTCTCTATTCTTCAATGTTCTGGCAAAGGCCTCTGGACTTGTAGCTCCTGCCTGGGTAATTCCATCCTGTTCTCAATGAGAGAGATCTGCAGTACAGGTAAGAGTAGCTGAAAAGCATCCTGGATGTAAGAGGCACTATTTGATGCCTGGGGGGATTGAAAAAACAAGAAAAAGAAAATAATCACAGTCACGTAAAATAAATATAAGATAATAAAATCAATATTTGTAATCTAAACGAATTTGTAGCCGGCCAAGTAAGATCACAGACCTTACTACTGCAGTACACTCTATTTTACAGAAAAAAACCTAACTCTTGAGATGATACCACAGTACCAAAAAAGAATTTAGCATTTTTTTTCCCAATTTGCCCATCAGAAATGGTAGCTGTTTGATATCCTGCTCAAACTTGGCATGCAAGGTTTATTTATTCCTTGATTGAGTGGGTAGTTTCTGTCATAGCACTGTAGTTGATTACTGAAAGATGCTTTCAGGAGTCTATGAATGAAYCCTGCACTATGGAATTTCCAGCCCATTATGGTAGCTCTTCTTCAATGGCCTCAATGCAATCATTAACACAAGACAACTGATCACAAACATAAACAAGGAACACTGCTTTAAAGATGAAACAGTATAGATAGAAATATGTCTGTTTGTGAGAAGCACTATGAAATCATTATGCTCAGAGTTTGCCAGACTTCATTTATATCTAACAAGCTCTCACCTTCCAGAATAATAACAATAGATACTTCATTACACTAAGATAAAATTGTATTACTTCAAAGACAAAAGTGTTTCAAATCTGTAAGCAAAAACAATCAACTAAAAAAGAAAAAACAAGAGGCAACTCATATCAAGTAAGATTATCTTTTCTGGATTTATCATTGTCTAGTACTTTGATATACTTCAATGTGACATTTGACAATACATTTTCCAGCCAAAAAACCTCAAAGATTATCTGGTTAGATCTCTTATTTTGCACTTAAAAATAATAAGGTTACCAAGAAGGGCAAATTTCTGATTCAGTGTTATACAGCAAGTCAAAGATGATCAAGGACAGGACTGTGCTGTTGRTTTGCAAAGTTCTTTCAACTCTGCCACTCTGCCATTTACTAAATCTCAAAATTATCCTTTAAAAAATTGTTTAAGCCGAGCTTGGTGGCACACACCTGTAATCCCAGCAGCTCAAGAGGCTGAGGCAGGAGGATCGAGGGTTCAAAGCCAGCCTCAGCAAAAGCAAGGCACTAAGCAACTCTGAGACCCTGTCTCTAAATAAAATACAAAATAGGGCTGGGGATGTGGCTCAGTGGTCAAGTGCCCCCGAGTTCAATACCCAGTACCAAAAAAAAAAAAAAAAAAAAAGAAAGAAAATTGTTTAAGTGATCAAAAGAGTTCCTCAGACTGCTTAAATAAAACTGTGTAGTTAAGAAACTAAAGTATTTCTTTAATGGTAATTTTTAAATAATTTAAAACTGGAGAATAGTCTAGTAGTATTAAAAAATTCATATTTAAAACCTAACCAATTATCAATATTTTTGTCTTCCCTACTCTAAGATAAATAATATGTCTTGAACAGATCATCAAAAGACTAAAGTTGCCTTTACAATTAATTTATAAGACAATAGTTCTTCAAACATGGTATCCAGAAACCATCCTTAGGGAGGCAATACAATCAATCATGGGATGCTTGCACACCATCCCTTTCCAGAGACTTAAACCCTCCATGAGGATTATGTAAACATAGGTACCTATTCGACAAAAAAAAAAAAAAAARATTAAGATTGTTTGGAAAGGAAATGACAAAATGTTTTGTTTGAAACACCTCTCCTGCATAAGCTTTAGTCCTTTAGAAAATAGGGCTTGCCTATTTCATCCCTTCATGTTTACCAGCTGGTCTCCAGAAGTAATTTCATTACTGGGAATTATATGTTAAGCTGTCAAGGGAAAGGGACTAAAAAAGGACAGCCAATTGCTCCTACCAATCCACATTATCCTGCAGCTTCAACTTCTATGTCTTGCAATAAAATACACATTAAACATATACAACTTTGTCCATATCTGCACCAAACTACTAATCTGGTGAAAAAAAAAACCAAAAAAGTCAAAAGCTAAAGACTTAATAAGAGTTCATYAATACAAAATGCCTTTGGAATCATAGACTTAAAAACAATTATTACTAACCTCTAGAAAGACTGCAGTGATTAATGGATTCAGGACATCTGCCTTTTCTTTAATCTAGAATAAAGGATACAGTGTTGTTAGAAGATAACCTTAAACAACAGGTAGAATATAATCCCACTTTGAAACACACAAATATAAACATAGGATATCTRGATTGAGAGAGAGGAAAATTTCACCTCTGGAAAGTGAAATTTTAAGTGCTTTAAATTTTCTCTATACTCTCTGCTATCCAAATTGGGATTATTTTTCTTGGTAGGTTTTTTGTTTTGTTTTGTTTTTTTGGTGGTGCTGGAGATTGAACCCAGGACCTTGTGCATGTGAGGCAGGCACTCTATCAACTGAGCTATATCCCCACCCCCTTAATAGTTTTTTTTATAAATTTTTAAAAGTACCCTCATTTTGGATGAGACAGTGGGAAAGGTACATCTGACTACAAACTTTTAGAAAAATTTGAAAACAAAATGTATATAGAACATGTGTTCAAAAAAAGTTTTTTTTTTCTGTATACGGGATAAAATTGGGAGTTCATAACTCATTTGAATCAAACTGTGAAATATGATGTATGAGGAACTATGTAATGTTTTGAACGACCAACAATAAAAAAAAAAATAAAAAAAAAAGACAGGCTGTTTGGAAAAATCTCATTTCATGCAAATAAATAGTGCAAATATAATACATGTGTTAGAACTTTATAGCTGATTCACTTTGTTAAAGTACAAAACACTGTGGCTTATTCAATTAATTTCAGGAAACCAGAAATCTTTTAAAGAAAATACTAACTCTGGTTTGCACATACACTCTTTCAAGAAATTTCCCCTACATCTTAAGTGCCAAAATCCTTCTTCTTCCATCATTCTTGTCTTCATAGGACCTCTGGCAAAATGCTGCCTCCCTCCCTCCCCAAGTCCAGCAGTTCCCTCCTTCTCCCCTCTTCTCTTAGACCACAGCAGCCAAATAAGAAACATTTTTATCCCATGACTTGGACCCCAAGGAACCCAAGTTTATGGTTTCAAATATATTTACCAAAAATACTAACATTATCTGGAACTTTTACACACACACACACACACACACACACCACATTTTCAGAGCAAACCCCATTAAGCAATTTCATTCCATATTCAATGTTTTCTACAGCACAACTAAACATTTTTAATTTTTCAGCAAATAGAAACAAAATACTAAAAAGAGAGAAGAGCTATATTCTAAGATTACCCTTATGAATAATCTAATCTCAAATTTAAGAATTTGGGCCATGTTCTTAATTAAAACAAATTTAGGGCCCCATAGTAACTTTGCCACCACACTTCATACTTACTATAAAGTTTTTTTCATTTACTTGATTAAAATGCCCTTGATAAGTTATGCAACCAACCTAGGAGTCTGTAAGAGATGAATGGATAAAGGAAATGTGGTGTATATACACATTTCATAAAGAAGAATGAAATTATTGGAAAATGGATGGAACAGAACTGGAGAATATGCTGAGTGATATAAGCCAGACTCAGAAAGTCAAAGATTGAATATTTTCTCTCATATGTGGAAGCTAAAGAATATAAAAAGGAATAAAAAAGGGATATCATGAAAATGGAAGGGAGATAAAGACAGTAAAAGGGAATTGAAAGGGAGAAAGAGAAAGGAACGGGGAGCAAAATCTACTTAATTATGCTGTGTCCTTAAGAGTTTACCACAATGAATCCAGAATTTATATGTAATTATAATGCTCTAATTAAAAAATAATAACAGAAGAAAGAACAGTAAAATAGAACAAAGGGATCTAGGATAGAGCAGGGGAGGTACTGGGGAATAAAACTGATCAGATTATGTGCCTGTATGAATGTCACTATTAGGTATAATAATACACCAATTAAAATGCCTTCAAATACGGGCTGGGGATGTGGCTCAAGCGGTAGTGCRGCATGCATGCGACCCGGGTTCGATCCTCAGCACCACATACAAACGAAGATGTTGTGTCTGCCAATAACTAAAAAATAAATATTAAAAAAATTCTCTCTCTCTCTCCCTCTCTCTTTTAAAAATAAATAAATAAAATAAAATGCCTTCATTTATCCTAATTCATGGTACATGCCTTCAGTAAATTTTTGTAATTCCAATTTAAAAAAAAAACAACTTTAATGTTAATTACAGCTCTCTCACTGGCTAGCAACTATACAATATGAATGTTACCAGTGTCTAATTAAGAAGCTATTCTTTAAAAGTCAGGGCAAAAAATTTGGGCTTTTTATTTTATTAAGGTCTACATTTCCAATACAGGTCTCRGAAGCACAAAGCATAATGAAGACTTCATAGAAGAGAGAACAAAAGAGTTTGTAAGAATAAGTTAGACGTAACTTTAACTTACTCTAAAATTCATATRGAAATGCCTGGGGTCCAAATGATTAAAATGGCTTGGAAAAGAAAATATTTTTTTGAGGGGGGTGAGCAGGGGAAGTACTGGGAATTAAACCAGGGCCTAGCACAAACTAGGCAAGTACTATACCACTGAGCTACATCACCACCCGTTTTTATTTTGAGATAGGCTCTCACTAAGTTGCCCRGGTTGGCCTCAAACTTGTGATCCTCCTGCTTCATTCTCCTGAGTAGCCTACCCAGCTAGAATCATACTTTTTAATTCAAAGTTACATTAATTAAGACAACATAGTATTCACATAAGGATACTCACATAGAAATCAACATAATATAAATGAGAGTTCAGAAAGGGGCCAAGACAATTAAATTGGTAAAAWGAATGGATCAAACAGATCAGACACCAGAACTAAAACAAAACTTTTAGAAGAAAGCACAAAAGTAAGTCTTCATGATTCTTAGATACTATAACACAGAAAGCACAAGTGATAAAAGAGAATACTGGGAATCTGATTTCATCGAGATTTTTAAACTTTTGTGCAAAAGACACTATCTAGAAAGCGAAACCACAATCCATGGCTGAGAGAAAATATCTGGTAAGAAACTTACATTCAGAAAAAAAAAGAACTCCTATACATTAATAATAAAAAGAAAGAACAGTCCAATTAAAAAAAAAATAAGCCAGGTGAGCACAGTGGCATGCAAGTATAGTCCCAGCTACTTAAGAGGTTGGGACAGGAGGGTCACTTCAGCCCATGAGTTTAGGGTCAGCCTCAACAACACAGTAAGACCCCATCTCTTAAAACATGGGGGAAAAGTGCACCAAGGACTCGARCAGACATTTCTCCAACGCTGCACAGGTGACCAACAAGTACAAGATAATATGTTCAATATCATTAGCCATTAGAGAAATGCAAATCAAAGTTACAATGAGATACCACTTTAAATACTAAAATGGTCAAAATTAAAAAGACAATAACAAGTGTTGATGAGGATGTAGAAAAAGGAGAACCCTCACATCACTGGTGACAATGCAATATTGTGCAGTCACTTTGGAAAGCAACTAGGCAGTTACTCAATGGGCTATTATTAACCATACAGCAGAGCAATCCACTTCTAACTACCCAAGAAAAATGAAAATGTTCATRCAAAAGGTCATATATGCTTGTTCATGACACTATTAATTATAGTCAGAAAGTGGAAAAACACTAAATGTCTATCAAATGAAGATAAAAAATGGGTATATATGTATGTATGTGTATACATGTATACATATATACAAACACATAAATACATATGTACCTCCATAAAATTGAGTACTATGCACTAATAAAAATAAAATGCTAGGCTGGGGTTGTAGCTCAGTGGAAGAGCACTTGCTTAGCCTTTGTGAGGCACARGGTTCTATTCTCAGCACCACATAAAAATAAATAAATAAAATAAAGGTATAAAAAATGAAATGTTGATTGAGATATGCTAAAACATGGACAGACCTCAAAAACATTATGCTAAATGAAGGAAATCAAGACACAAAATACCACATAATATATAATTTCATTTACATGAATTGTCCAAAATGGGTAAATTTACAAAGAAAGAAAATAAATTTGTATCACCAGGGTTGGGGGAGTAAGGAAGAGAAAGAAATGAAGAGTGACTGCTAATATATTATGATTAGAAGGGGGGGATGATGAAAATGTTCTAAAATTTTATCATAATAATTATTGCACATTTCTGTAAATATACTAAAATCCATAGAATTGAATACTTGACACAGTTGAATTTTATAGCACATCAACTATATTTCAATTCAGCTGTTTAAAAAAACAGTTATATGACATTAGCCCATTCTTACCCCAGCAGTTGTTAGGCAGGTGGTAAACTCTTTAGACAGACAGGACAACTCTTTACACAATACAATTGTCATCCTAGAAAATAATGAAGAAAATCAGGAGGGTTCTTTTCTTTCTCTCTCTCACACACACACACACACACACACACACACTCTCTCTCTCTCTCTCTCTCTCTCTCTCTCTCTCTCTCTGTGTTATATTTAACAATTGTCATAAGAAAACAAATCACTTAGTTAAAGAAATGTGACAGAAGAAACTTTCAAATGTATAAATATGTCTATATCAGCTTCCTAATGTAATTGGAGATCCATCTGAGCAGACATTCATGCTACAGGAAGAAAAAGTTCATGCCTTATAAAAACATTTCCCTAAAATTCTCTAGAAAGTACTAGTTAAATCGAAGAAAATACCTAAAATGCATTAAAGGACACAATACTTAAAAGACCCAACATTCCATTTAGAAATATAATTAAAATAAAAAATGTTTATGGAAAGTCTTCTACATGCCAGGCACTATTTTAAGCCCTGGAGATGTGTCAGTAAAGTACTAGTTTGCATGGATTTGAACTTTCTTGCTAATTAAGAGGAAGACAGCATACAAACATTACACACACATATTTGAATATGTATACATACATATGTATAAACACATGCATATATGTTACTAGGTGGTGATATGAGCTACATAAAGCAGATAATAATGACTAGAAAATGATGAGAGATGCTATTTTAGACTACGATGAAGAAAGGTCTCTGAGAAGGGGCATTTGAGTAGAAAGCTGAATTCCGTACAGGTATGAGATATGCCTGGAAGAACAATCAGAGTAGCAAGAACAGCGACTTTTCACATGATCACAGCTGCATCACTCTCATCCTTAAGGGTGTTCAAGATAAAACAAAAAAATCCCCCCATGGGATGTCGTAGAGGGACAATGATGCTGCTGCTGAAGAGACCAGTCTGGAGAATATCCCAATTCTAACACATGGGACATTCTTTTTCCTAATAAAAATTCTCATTTAAATAAGGAGATCTATTTAGAAACTACTGGGCCTTTTTTCTTCCTCCTGTGATTACTTACATTATATTTTGAATGCTTTTTTCTCAAGATCAGTAATAAGGTCAGAAAAAAAGAATGGATGTGTGACATAGTCAGACCTATGTCTAAATTGTAGGTTGCACAACCTGTGCAGATTACTTAACTTTTCTGAGTCTCTGCATTTCCTCTTTGTTAAAGCTGAACTAATCCCTTGGGTTACTGTAAAAATTAGAATACATGTGAATCCCTCAGCATGGTGCCTRCATATAATTAGCACTCAATAACTAAAAACTCAAGTTCTTAGAACTATTTTCTGTTTCACTTATGTCAAATTCCATTCCTATTCACACCAGCAATCTGCAAAATACAGTTTTCAGAGCATGAGTTGGTTAACAAAAAAGGGCAGATTTATAATGCAATGGTTCAGCAAAAAGAAAAAAAAACACTTAAAATGAAAAAACTTTTACTATGTAAATATTATATGATATAAATAGTACCTTGATAATATAGACATTTCTAAAAATTTTGGAAACTAATTTTATATAACTATCAGGCACCAATAAAAAAATCTGGAGGGGGGAAAAAAAAACTTTGGAAATTAAGCCAAGAAAACTCTTTCAGCAATTAGTGCCATTTTATGTATGTATGTATGTATGTATGTATGTATGTATGTATATGTACATACGTACATACGTACTGGGGATTAAGCCACAGTCCCAGCCCTTTTTATCTTTAAGAGATATTCATTACACTTACTGGGAAAGAGTTTGGCTCCTTTCTATGGCTGTCACTTCCTGCTTCCCACCATGCAGAACTAATGCTGCTGTTTTGTGAAATAGTTCAATAGAGCAGGCAGTCAATTCTGCTAGGCTKCGAATTGCAAATGCATGGATATCCTGGATGGAAAAACAAAAGAAAGCACAACAAAATAAAACATTAGGTTTTAGTTTTTTGTTTTTAATTTGCAAGGCAATGACACCACCTTGCTTCTTTCATTCTGAATAATTCAATATTTTGAAAGTAGAGTCGCTCTTTAATAAGCTTTCTCATCTTCTTCCACAGTAGTGATGTACTTTTACAGCTACAGTCATGACTAAAAAATTAAAAAAAAAAAAAAAAACAGAGGCTCCCCTAGAGTCGGGTGTGACTAAGCTTTGGCCAAAAGATTTACATTAAGCATCTGGTGGCACTTTCTGGGAACTCTCCTTGGGACCAAACACACATGCACCCTTTTGTTGTATTTGTGCGCACGCTTACTTGCATTCTCTCTCTTTACTTCTGTGTTACTTCTAGTGTCTGAAACTAAGAGACCACAATTTGGCTTCACGAGGTTGAAATGATGGATAGCAGTTCAACAAAACAGAAGGACACTGGGTCCTCAATTGTAATACCCACATCTCAAATCTATTTAAAAAAAAAAAAAAACTTAGTTGCTTTGTTTACCTCTATTGAATTTTTATTGACTTCTTCAGTATTTTCTGTCTCTGACTGTTTTTCTTCTTCTTCTTTCTTTGCTAATGGTGTGGTCGGAAATGCCCTGATCCATTCGTAGGCAGTACTTCTTGCCTAAATAAGGAAAGGTTATTGCACACCAGCAATTCAATTCAGCTCACCAAGATTATTCTGCACCTACCACGAAAACATTAGCATCCTGGAAGTCAGCACTCTTTTTCTAGCTTAGCATACCATCTAGTATTGCAGTCCTTATCTTACTAGGCAAGAACTGTGGACACTTGGCACCRCGTACACTCATTTCTTTTCAAAATTCCCTTGATTCTTTGGCTTTTTATTTCCAACTGAGGTATAACTTACATATAATATATGGGCTCTCTCTCGTCCAGCGAGGAGGTCCACGGAACAGGGTTGAGGAGACTGTGGTTGCAGAGTCACTAATCAAGACCTTCAGAGACCAAGCTGGAAGCAGGTCTGATTTTATTGCATAGTTACCATGGATATATACTCAGGCAGTAGCTAGGCAGATTATAGGCAGCTACCAACACAATTTCTTGCTAACTGTGATTGTATGTACTGATCCTACTTGGACAGTCCTTAAACATCATTATCTAGAGTTCTTGCCTTTACTTTCTACATGTTTCACTTCACTTCCTCTCTTTGGGCATCTACATTCATTCTACTCCTGTGACCAATCGAGGAGCAGGCCRTGGAGCAAGCCCTGGGACAGCAACACATGGCCTCACACCCAGGGATWTGCCTACGGGGTAAGAGGTCTGCCGCTCACACACCAAGCACTAGGGAAGTGGCCTGCCATTCAGATGCCCTTAATGTATGCCATGTATGCAGTACTCCATGCATTTGTTCCCACAAAAATAAAGTGTACAAATCTTCAGAGTACAGTTCAAGAAATGTTACATGTGGGCTGGGGATTTAGCTCAGTGATGAAGCAGTTGCCTAGCATGCACAGATCCTGGGTCCAATCACCACCACCACCACACACACACACACACACACACACACACACACAGTTTACATGTATATATGCCTGTGAAAATGAGAATCAGATCAAGATACAAAACATTCCTACCACCCTCAGAAAGCCCACTTACCCTAATTTGTGTAGGGCTACTTAATGCACAACAAATATCAGTTATATTTATCCATGTTGTTTTGTGTATTTACAGCCCATTCTTATTTATTGCTATGTAGAATGTCATTTTATACATATACCACAATTTATCCATTCTCCTAATAATGAAACTCAATGTGGTTTCTAGTTCTTTGGTTTTTGTAACACCACTATCATCTGGTTCTCCACCTATCTTTATAATCACACCTCCTTAGTCTCTTGTATGTACTGATCCTACTTGGACAGTCCTTAAACATCATTATCTGGAGTTCTTGCCTTTACTTTCTACATGTCTCACTCTACTTCCTCTCTTTGGGCATCTACATTCACTCTACTCCAGTGATTTTTAACTATCCCTGACTTGCTGCTAACTCCTAGACTCTTATGTCCATCCCTTACCTCTGCTGAAAACAATGTATTCAAAATGCTTGATGGAAAGTACTCTTTCTGTTGGAGTTATTCAAATGGGGGTCAAAAAAATCAACCTGAAACTGCTAGTGGTTATTTTACCACTACGTGGGAAGGATCCTTAAGAATGAAGCCAAAGCAAAATAAAGCAGAGCCAAGATAGAGGTTCCTGAGTAGAGTCAAGCCTGAAGCCATTCTTGCCCCTTGATTGTCTAGTGTTTTTGGCTATTGAATTCTCCTCTTAGGGAAGTCTGACTTGACTTTCTGTAATCTGTAGATAAAATAGCTAGACTGTGGAACCAACCTATATGCCCTTCAACAGATGAATGGATTTAAAAAATGTGGCATTTATACACAATGGAATATTACACAGCACTAAAAAATAACAAGATCATGGCATTTGCAGGGAAATGGATAGCAWTAGAGCAGATTATGCTAAGTGAAGTTAGCCAATCCCTAAAAAACAAATGCCGAATGTCTTCTCTGATATAAAGCGGGTGACTCAAAATAAGACTAGGGAGGAAGAGCATGAGAAAAAGATTACTATTCAATAGGGAAGAGAGGTGGGAGGGAATGGGAGGGAGAAGGAGAATTGCATGGAAGATGGAAGGAGACTCTCTTTGTTATACAAAATACATGTATGATGATGTGAGGGGGAAGAAAAAGAGAAAGAGAAAGCAGTCACAGTAGATTGGGTAGAGCGAGGTGATGGGAGGGGAGGGGAGGGAAGGGGGGGATAGGAAGGGCAGCAGAATAAAATAGTCACTAGTATTGCTGTATGTATACACGTGGCTGTATAACCAATGTGATCCTGCAACCTGYACACATGGAAAAATAAGAATTCATACCCCATTTGAATCAAATGTATGATATGTCAAGATCATTGTATTGTCATGAGCAACTAATAAAAAAAAAGAAAATTAAATGTGGAGGTATTTAAAAAAAAAAAAAAGTTTCCTGGTTTCTCAAGAAGCGTTTACTGTCATTAAATGACAGCATTCACTTAACTTTATATAGACAGAATATATTTAAGGCTGTAACCTGGTAATAAGAATTTACAAACAACCTTGAGAGTTATTCTAACAGAGAATCACAGGTTTTATTACTCAGCCCAGGTAAGGTTGCATGCGAGGCTACAAAACAAGTGTATACCTATCCAGACATTCATTTCAGGATCCTTGCCCCTATGGCATAGAACCTCTAACAAGAACTTACAGGAATAATCTGGCTGTAACGCAAACCTTCCCATTACTTAAGCATTAACCTCTCAAGTGCACAAAACCAAACAGAATAACCTAAACAAAGGTTCATAATCAGGAAAACTCAAAGTGCAGAGCAAAATCTGAGATATCTAGCAAGATCACAGTACACAGGATGCAGGCATTTATTCATTCGTTTATTACAAATATATACTGCATACTGGGCTAGGTGCTACAGATTCACTAATGAATGATCCAAACTAGGGATCTGCTCTTCCTTATTCTTGAGAGGGAAAATAATTAATAAGAAAGCAAATAAACACATGCATAAATACAATAAACTGGGATAATGGAGAGTGTAGGATTAGATGAGCAGACGGTGGCTTGAATTTGAGTGGTTAGGAAAGGTCTTTGAGCTGCACTGTGGAGGGTAAAAAGGGGTCGAACATACAAATATTTAGGCAAAGACACCCATAAGCACAGGGAAAGCAGCTTGGTATATTTGAGGAACAGAACAAAGGCCAGTATGGGAAGAATATAGAGGATGGGGGAACATGACAGGAGACAAGGTCAGAGTGGTGAGTTTTATAGAAGAGTGACATAGGAAACTGGAAGGAATCCTAACTGGAAGGAATCCTAATAGTTGCCTAATATTCCAAACTGTAAGTGAAATTCTTTGTAATTTCTTTGAAGAGATAAAATGAGAAAAAAACTACGGATTAATTTATCTGAGATTTTAATAGAAAGAAAAATAGGAAGCAATAAAGCCACATTTAAAAAAAAAAGAAAACTGATAGCATACATTTAATATATTAAAGGAGATATTTTAGTAGGCATAGTACATACCCAAATGACCTCTCTAATAGTACATTAAGTGAAGTCATTATGAACTACTGTGCCAGTTTAGGATAATTTTTCAGCATTTTCCAAAACTGTCATCCACTTCCATGATTCAGCCTAGAACTTCCCACTGGTGAGATCTGGAATCTTAGGAGTTAAAAGGCACCTTTGAGCTCAGCTTTTCCAACAACTGATTTTTTCCAACTGAGAAATAATATGGCCTGAAGAAGGAATGGGATTTACCAAGGTCATAACATATGTGAGTGTCCAAATGAGAATTAGAATCATATTCCCAGATTCTACTTCAGTGCTCTTTTCCCTTTATCACACATACAGGAACAATCAGACATTGGCTGATCTTTATCCTACATCTTAAATCTCAATGCCCCAAATTTAAATAGACTGCTTTCAGAGAATAGCTAGAACTAACACACAGATAACTGTTATTTTAAACATATTTGTTTATTAGTGTGATTTATAAGAACATGGAAACTGTCTTTCTCATTATTTCCCTAGCACCTAGATAAATACCTAGCATAATGAAGGTTAACTGAATATATGTTTGTTTATGGAACATCTGAATGTACTAGACATCAGCTAGCTTCTGTGATGCCATCAAAGTGAGCATTATTCACAATGAATCATGCATTTTTGAAGAGTTTTGCGTATATTAACACATTTAATTCTCATAAGAATTCTATATTATTCCACCTCATAAATACAGAAATTGAGGCAAAGAAAGGTTAAGCAACTTGCTCAAGGTTACACAGAAAATAAGAGGTATAGAGCTGGGATTTTACATATATGTATAGATCGTGACTTCAAAAAATTAAGATTTATGTTAGGAGATAAGATATACATATTTTAAAAAGGTATGAAAAGCTGGATGCAGTGGTGCATGTCTGTAATCCCAGCAGCTCGGGAGGCTGAGACAGGAGGATCATAAGTTTGAGGCCAGCCTCAGCAATTTACCAAGGCCCTAAGCAACTTAGTGAGACCCTATCTTAAAATTTAAATTAAAAAAAAAAAAAAAACACTAGGGTGTAGCTCAGTGGTGAATTTCCTCTGGGTTCAATTCTCAGTACCCTCCCCATCAAAAAAAAAAAAAAAAAAGCTATGAAAATACATATGCACAATGTTAAATAGAGTGCTAAAGAACATATAGAGTATGTTAATTTTTGTGTAAGAAAGAGATTAGAAAATATATCTGCTTATCTTTACAAAAAAGAAAAGGAAGTACAAGCCAGAAAACAAGGAAGCTGAACATATAAAAAAGAAGGCAGTAGTAGAGACTTGGGAGGTAATTGCACTTTTCTGAGTATATTTTTTGTATAGTTTTGACTTCTGGAAGCACATTAATACTCTAACGGACAGCAAACAAATCATAAATTCGTTCTGTAGGTTGATTTACAATAGTATGGGCAAAACAATGAAACTATTAGAAATGCATTAAATTATTAAGAATATGTGCTAGTATTGTTAGGAGATAAGGTTCTTACTGTGGAAAAGGTCTAGGAAAAGGCAAGGACAAACCCTGTGGGAGCAGATTAAAATTTGAGTTACTAGTATGAAATCAATTCCTAAAATAATGTACACATATGAGCATATTTATGTATCTACACATATACGTGTGTGTGTAACTAAGTATATCTCCTAGCTGTACTGACAGAGCCTAGAGACAGACACCTCAATAGCAATGAGGACACTTAGTCTTGATCTATAATACTAAAAAGGAACTGTGGATTCTTGAAAGAATAGCTAATTCTGGGGCTGAGATGGAGGGTACGAGATGAGTCTATACTACCTTGCTATGCCAGAAAATAAAGAATTGATGGGGCGTGTCACAGAGGAGCCAGCCTGAAGGACAATATGAACATCAAAATAACTGACGCTGGGCTGGGGATGTGGCTCAAGCGGTAGMGTGCTCGCCTGGCATGCATGTGGCCTGGGTTCGATCCTCAGCACCACATACAAACAAAGATGTTGTATCCGCCAAAAACTAAAAAATAAATATTAAAAAATTCTCTCTCTCTCTCTCAAAAAAAAAAAAACTGAGGCAGAGTTGAACTGCAAATCAATGAAAAAAAAGTCAAAATCCACAAAATCATACCAATAATAGACAAAAAAAAAAAGGAAGGAAGAAAACAAAATGGGGACAGAGCTCTTGATAAGAATGAAGATATACTGGTAAATGTGGAGAGTGCGCTGAGGCTAGAAAAATATCACTTTGCAATCCTCACAATAAAGACTGTTGCAACAAGAATCATAAATAGAAGCTAAATTTAGGAGGGAAATTATGATGAAAAGCAAGATATTTGTGGGGTCTTAAAGTATATCTTCACAGAAAGCATATTAGAAGCAAATGAAAATAAATTATGATTCTACAAAGAGAAATCAGACAACACATCATCAGTAAGGAGCAGATGGACATCATGAGCCTTTAAATCTGATACCCTGGGCAAGACAGGCCATCCCTTATGGAGCAGTTTGGCCCTAGGAATGCATAGCTTAACTTCCAGCAAGAGAAAACATTGGATAAGCCCCAGAAATAAGGAATATTCTATTTTTATAAAGAGAGRGAAGTGTGTATTTTTCAAAAATGTCAATGTCATAAAAGACAAAGAAAGGATGAGAAAATATTTCAGATTAAAGGGATTAAAAGTACACAACAATTAAATACAAGTCATGACCATGAACTGGCTCTGGTGTCAGAAGAAAATATATGATATGAAGAATATCACTGAATCACCTGACAAAACTGGAATAAGAACAACAGAGTAAATGAAAGTATAGTATTAACATTAAATTTACTGAAGGTGGAAACTATACTTTAGCTATGCAAGAAGATATTCATATCTTTTTAGAAATATATATTGAATTATTTAGGAGTAAAGAGCTATGATGTTTACAACTTTCAAATGGTTACAAAAATGAGGGGTGTATGCATGCATGCATGTGTATGTGTAAGCAGAAATGATTAAGTAAATGAGGTAAAATGTTAACAACAGTATATCTGCATAAAAGGTACATGAACATTGCTTATACTACTTCTGCAACATTTCTGTTTCATATTATTTCTGTAATACTGTAATGCAAGATTGAAAATACTATGGTAAGGGACTACAATAAGATGAGGACGATGAGCTGCTTAAGAATGGTGTGAACATCAATGATCATAGCGGCACAATTCACAATAGCTAGACTGTGGAACCAATCTAGATGCCCTTCAATAGATGAATGGATAAAAAAAATGTGGCACCTATACACAATGGAGTATTACACAGCACTAAAAAATGACAAAATCATAGAATTTGCAGGGAAATGGATGGCATTAGAACAGATTATGCTAAGTGAAG